ACAGAGGCGAGAGCAGTTAGCTCATTGTTGATTAGCACTGATAGGCTAATGCCACAGCATCCCCTCTGCTGCCCTGTACAGTGTATTTACTGCTGCTCCTGCAGGGCAACGGAGGGGGAACGGCCGAGCTGATAGATGGCTGGTACTAATACTGGGGAGCCAGCGAGTGTCCGCCAAAGGATTTACACACCAATTAATGCCTCTGCTGCAGAAGTGAGATCATTACACTGTATTTCTTGTTGAATAAAACAAATACTGTTAAAGAAATGGTGAAATATCCATTCTGCATCAGTGACTCATCTCCCTGCTTCTCACCATCTTTTCTTTCCACATTCCTTTTTTTCCTTCATTTTATTCTTGCCTCCTCCTCCTCCTCCTCCACCCATCCCCACCTTACCCCCATCCCCCCAACACCCTCTCCATATCTACTGCTGTCTTTTCCCCTCTCTCCTGTCTCTGCTGCCGCTTCTCTCCTCCCGTTGTTGTCATGCCAACTTCCCAGGAGACAGGGTTGTCATGGATACCGAGCGGCAGGGCAGATCAGCTGATGTCTGGTGTCGTTCAGGCATGTGCACAGATCGGTCTCCTGTATGTGCGCTCTTTTCCTCCCCTTTTCCCAACGAGGCTTATTTGTGATCCCTGCGGCTCTCGATCTCCTCACGCTCTCTCTCGCCTTGTTTATTTTTTTTTATTTTTCATTCACCCGTTGAACCCTTCACTTCAGTCCGTTTGTACTCAACCCACCAGCCCTACACAGCTGCAGTGTGACTATACAGACATTGTTTATGAACTCAGATGAATGATGTACATGTGCAGCTGTATCATGATATTCTTAACCGGGTTGTAGAAGTAACACCCAGAACAAAAGGCCGCTGTATAAGTAGCTCTCAAATTACATCAAGCTCAAGATGAGAAGGTGATGAAGCATAAATGATAATTGTGTAAATAAATTCATACACCTCAGAGGCAACTAGCAGGGGGTTGACTTTTTTTTGCCCTGTAAATATCACTGGTTAGCTCACTGGTTCCCTCACAGCTTCACAACATGAATGGCTGCACAGCTTAGCTCATTATATCCTTATATTTCATCATAGAGCACTCACCATTTGCTCTTGCAGCTTTTTTCCCCCCTTCTGTCTTTACAGGACTGTTGTGGGATGTGTTATATAAGCAGTAAGTTGTTCCCATTAGAATACACTGGAAGAACCTGCTGTTCAAATTATGTCCTTATAACAACTGCATCAGACCAGAGAGCACTTGACAAAAAGCACTGTGGTCCTGCCTGCACATGGACAAATGCACATTGTACAGGAGTTTTCTCACTAGTGCTTTCACCAAATATACACCCACTGGTGTTACTGTTTGGGAACATGGCATTTATAAATGCAAATTAGACATCAGCAAACAAGTTGTCCCTCACAAGTGGCGCAGTCCTCCTGGGTCCAACAGTAGCAAATATGGAAACCTGTTTGGACTTTAAATTATTGTCTCTTCCTTGAGCCAATCCGTGTGTTTTGTTTTCTATTTAGTTTTAATAGAGATAGTAATGGTAGCAGAGCTGGGAGATCCATATTTACACATTTTTTCGAACATATTTAGTTGTGTAAAAGGAAAAAAAGTGAGGAAATAATGTTGCATGGAGCATTTGCTTCAGAGTGGGACACGTGGACAGAAGCCCCTTATAACAGGGCAAATTTGTGTTGTCGATAAATGTTAACAATCGGGAAAATGCAAACCACCTATAATCTGGCTTCAAATGATCCAGAATACACTGGCTGATGCAATATTTTCAAAACTAATGAGGGACTCCTGCACACTGTCTCGCTTACTGCTTAAGAAATATTTATTTAAATAACAATGTTTCTATATGACCTTCTATATTGGCAGCATGACAACACTTCATATGTATATACACACACACACACACACACACACACACACACACACACACACACACACACAAGCGCCCTCCATCATTCAATTTTCCAATCAGAGGACTGTACTGTTTAGTTAACAGGTGATCACCTTGAGCCATTCCAAGCATTCACGTCATCGGTCAGACAATAGCACCAAAAAAAAACTAAAAATATACAAAATACAATAACAATCTTAAGCAACATCCAACAGCTCGAAATAAACAAGTCAATTTAGGAGCAAACATGAAACATCACAAATCTTACAGTGTTTTCAAACATTAAATCGTAAATACATTGTTCCCAAATGGCTATAAATACACGTTACAAGTCACAGTGTGAGCTGATATAGCATAATTGCCAATTCATCAGTACATTTCTACAATAACATCAGTATAACAGTCACATTCAGCACCATTTTTGATCTATATATTTTCATTTTCAAAACATGTGACCACAGGTGAATGGTATAAGTGGATAAGGCTGCAACTGATCTGCTGATTATTTCTCTATTAATAATTTGCTCCATGAAATGTTTTTTGCTTTTTGGTCCAACCAGCAGTCTATAACCCAAAGATATTCAGTTTATTATCACATAAGACAGAAGAAAAGCTAAAAAAAATCTTCACAATTGGGAAGCTGGAAACAGAAGGCGTCATTAGTTATCAACACAAATTAACACCAATAAGTTGGACTGCAGTAATGAAATGTATCATCATCCTCGAGTTTTGTTAGATTTGTGTGGGTCGGCGAGACGAAACAGATGGCTGGGCAGATAAATGCCTCTAACAGATTTCATACTCAGGATGAAACTGATTTGGTGAATTAAGACAAAAAAATTAGACAAGGAAACGAATCCGGGTGTATCATTACCCAGCTCATTAGAACGCTGACTGTCGTTCCAATCAATTAAGCCTTTAATATAAATGTAAATGTAATCGGCTCCATGTAATTAACTGCGGGTGGATTGCGAGACAGAGACGCATGGCTTTAGGCTTTATTCATGGTGAAGTGTTTGTTTCTGAAGTCACAGGCGTCATAATGGAGCTAAATAAGCTAGCTGGTGGTTTAGCTGCCGGTAGCAACCCGTCTTCCACTGATGGAGAATGTGTCCCATCATTGCAGTCTGCTGAGTGGATATTAATGTACCTGACTGGCTGCCCTGTGGCTGTTTCCTCAACATGCACCACTTCAGTTCAGCGTAGAAAGATACGTTTAGAGAGAAATAAATGTCTCAAAACGTAAGGGAGGGAGTAACAAAAGAGAGCTAGGCTAAAAGGAAGAGAGATAACCGTATAAAAGAGGATGAAAGAGGAAAGCATAGGGAGTTAATGAGCTCCTTTTCCCCCTGAGATGTGTTTACCTGTGAAGATATCGGTTTCTTCCTGTTGTTGTCTTCCTCCTGCAAAGCTAAACAATCCAACCGCAAACCTGGGATTCCCATTTTAGCCCGGCTGCTCTGTTGGTATGTCGTTTGGGGCCTCTGAGTGGAAGAATTCGATTGGGCCTTTGGGATTCTGATCAATAAATCTTTACTGCAAGTGCTGATTTAAGCTTTGAGTGGGAGACACCTGATACTGGCCCTTTTTTTTTTTTACAGAGGTATATGTTTTACAAGAAATTCAATATGAAAAGCTCTAAATGGTGTGCTGCTCATTTTACAGTACACTTCAAAATGTAGCATGCAAATTAAAATAAAAAATATCTTTAAAATAGATCCATGATGCAAACCAGTTTACATTACACTAAACTGAAACTCTATACATTACACATTTTGGCAATTAACTAATGGAAACTACTGAGTGACATCTATGTTTAGTGATAAGCATTTGAACTCTGTGAGAATATGAGGTGGCTGTATTCTGAATGTGATTTAGTGTTGTGCTCACTGTGGTTTGGCTCTTGGAATTTCAACTTTTGCACATTGAAAGGCTGTTGTGAAAATTAAGCCAAAGAAATCCAAAAGTACTCTAACTGAAGGCTTTTATAGCCTCCTCTCTAGTCCTCCAATCACTCACAAGTTCTGAAAGATACTTTGACATACAACTTTAACTCACAGCGGTTTGACCTATTAAAGTAGGAAAAGCAGCTGTTCTATTCATGTGTCCCAGTAAAGCTGGGTAGACGTTTTTTATTTAATCAACAATCTAGCTTTTCAGTGATTGGATGGATTTCTGGCATGTCAGAGATATTGATCTTGCAGTTTGAGCAGTTTCATGATTCAATTTTACACTGAAATTAGGTTGTTTTAATATTACTGCAGAGATATTTTACACATAGTGGCTAAAACTCTTGAGACGGCTGTAAGTTCAAACCTAACAGACACCATATTGTCCACATCTTCCAGTCGTCTGTGGCTCCATCTTATTTTTTGCCTTACTTTCTAGTAGAAATGCACAATGCTACTTTTCTCTCTTTCTCTCTCTCTCTTTCAGGCAATATGAGGACCCTAAAACTGAAGCAGCTAAATGGAATAATGTCATCATTAACTTTATTATTTACACCTGCTCATTTATATTTAATTCAGTAACGACAAATAACACAGCTGAAGTATTCATTGGCACAGCATGAGCACCAACACTTTATCTATTAAGGGACACAGAACCATTTTTAATTGTTAACTGAATTAGATGTCCTACTGTGTGTGAATAAAATAACATAACCTTTTTATTATTAAGGCTTTTATTTCCCCACTAAAACAGGAGATCTGCTGCATACACAGAAATTCCTCAGGTCTCCTCTCTTTACTTCCTGTGGAAGTTAAACATGATGAATTGTAGCCCAGTGCAGCAACCCCGGTGACTTCGTGTCCTTTGGGGTGTGCCAGCTCAAATTCCCCGATCAGCATCTGCGTCTGTATATGTTCTGTGTTTGTGTTTATCTACAGTACAGATGGTTATGTGATATGTTTCTCAACTAACATTCATGCCTTTACACATGTTTGTGTTTCTCTGTAGGCTCTATCCACATGTTTTATCTGTGTTTAATTGTGTGTCCTCTCTCTCTCTCTCTCTCTCTCTCTCTCTCTCTCTCTCTCTCTCTCTCTCTATCTCTATCTCTATCTCTATCGCTCTCGCTCTGTCCCAGGTGACCGGATTGAGCGTGTCCCCTGGGAAGGACCAGCTGGTTGTGTTCCACACCAAGGACAGCAGGGATCTCGTGGTGTGCCTGCAGGGCATGGTGCCTGCCAATGAGAGCCGCATTGGGGAGCTGGTTGGCACCTTACTTAGCCACTTCAAGAGGTGAGCGGTGTGGGGGAGGGAAGCGGGCAACAAGTGGTGGTAGAAGCTGTTGAAATGTCCTAAAATGCCTAAAATCATGGATTCTAGTTTGCTGATTGAAATGACCTGTAGTTGACACTGAAGTAAAGGCAGAGGCCACTTCTTTTTTTCTGTGTACTGCATAGAAATTATATTTTTGTAAAGGTGAAATAAACCTTCTCATCTGAATTTCTAAAACACCACATTAAATCCAATAGTATTGGCCAGATGTGCGGTATTGACCCGAGCAGGAGGATTATGAGGCAGATCGAGTGCACAGTCCCAGCTGTCCTAACTTGAACCGTAATGTTCATTTAATCTGAGCTCCCTTCAGGACAGGATACAGAGAAGATATTCAGATATAGATTAAATGAAATCCCTGAACCCTGCTGTCGCTTTTTCTTACCTTCCGATTCACCCAGGTTGACTTCAGGACTGTCTCTTCTCATATTGCTCTCCAAAACTACAATACAGGATTAGCATATAAAATTCATTCTATCACTTGAATACATATAGGAATACATAAGAACTTGTCCGTTCACACACAGCCTTCTAATACAGATGCTTAAGGATTTTGTTTACAAACTGGTAATCAGAATGCTGTGTGCAGAATATCCTGTTTTGCTTTGTTGATTGGTACAAGGTAAAACTTATGAATAGGGTATTGAAACACGAATATGAGGTAGTATCTCAGTATCTCTTCTTTGAGCACAATTTATTCCATTCCAGTTCACATGAGGTTAGTCTTACTGCAGTGGGTCTGCTTGTCTTTCCCACTTACCATCAGGAAGATCAAGAGCCCTCCCACTGCCGTTAACACAAAACTGTACTCGAGTTGTCCTCAATTCACTCTTTTTATGCAAGTTTTATAAAGACAGTTAAATTGACCCTCTAGTTTTCAAGAAAAAGGTTATTCTATTATATAATAAAGTAAGATACTGTCACGTACTATGAACTGTGTTGTATCACAATATTCAGCCAGTGTTAACGAGTGCTGTTTCCTTATCATTACAAGCAGCTTACACGTGGTTTAGCTACACATCAGCAGGAAGCTCTCGACTCCTTGAAGTGTTTATACTTATACCAACCTTCCAACAAATAATTTAATAAAGTAGCTCCAGGAAAAAGTGTGTGAATAAAGTGATTTCATTCATCCACTCTCATTCCACTTTCATCCTGTGTTTTAATCCCAGGGGAGGATGACTCTGTCGCCTTCGCTAACAGGAGCATATACACACACAGACACACAAAAGGAAATGAAGGCATGAGGGAAAAGGAAAGAAAAATGCTCAGAAAATAGAAAACCTGTTTTCCTAGCCTAGCTGGTGTATTGTAGAGTCTTTCAAGTCCTATATTAGTCCTTCGGGGTCATGTTTTCTGAAATGGCCTGCGTATGTTCAGATGGAGGTCACCTATCTTTCTTCTACTTTCTATGTTTAACTGCATAGAGAGAAAGCTCTCGTACTAAATGGACCTTTTGCCCCTACTTAAACCAGTTCACTTTATTTGGCTCATTGAAATGGATTTGTGAGTGAATGCAGCTGTACTGCTAAAACTAATTAGATGTACCCTTTGTCGGCATTTCGACTCAATCCAACGATTTGTTCTGTGGGCCTTACACGATTTTATTCAGACCTTGTGATTCTGTCCAGTCCATTGTGGGTGAGAAATGTGCTGTGGATCAGAAAACAAGCAAGCACACAACCTGTAGCTACGGATTGTGTTTGCAGCAAGCAGCATCCATACTTAGAATACTAAAGTAGAAGTGTCTTAAGCTGCAGCTCCTCTATAATGGCTGCTCGATGTAATTAGTTTTGCAGGTATTTAGTCAAAAAAAAGTGTGACAGATCAGAAATGTGAATATCTGTACCTGAATTTTGTCACAATCTATTCAATAGTTGTTATTCAAGACCACAAGTTTCACCCTCACGGTGCAGCTACAAGCGCAATCAGGGGATCACCAAAGTCATAGGTTACATCACAGTTGTTACAGACACATATGGTGTCTGCGGTCTGTAGTTTATATTGCACATTGTGCAGCAGTAGAAGAAAAAGCAAAATGAAATAGTCAACCTTGTAATAAAGTAAACTCGCTAATTGAGCTGTAAAAGGTTTCTGTCAAAACGATCAGATCAGGGAGTGAAAAACAAGAAGTAATTTGTGTTACTGTTTGACCTTTTCACATCATTTGATCTCTCTAAACTTCTGCCACTGTGATTACTGTTTTGATATTTTTAGATCACTGAAATCGCTCATCTGACTGATTATTGAATTGACTCCTCCACTGGAGTCTGGCACGTGTATCGATTAGTGTATTCATGTTTGTCTCTCTTTGTGTGTACGATTGTGTGTGCGTGAGAGAATTTGTGCATGCAGACAGATGTTGAATCTGTTTATCTTGGTGTGTGTGTGTGTGTGTGTGTGTGTGTGTGTGTGTGTGTGTGTGTGTGTGTGTGTGTGTGTGTGTGTGTGTGTGTGTGTGTGTGTGTGTGTGTGTGTGTGTGTAGGGGAAGTGTGCTTGATCGTTGCCATTCTGTGATGGTATCTCGTTCCATTGTGGAGCTCATTTCTCAGTAGATGTCGGGCTGAGAAAGGCCTCCACAGGGCCACATGTAATGACCCTCCATGTGCTTCGCATGCCGACTCATCCATCACTGTGAAACACAGACAGAACAAAGGGCACACCGGCATGCACGAGGATGTGTGTGTGTCTGTCTGTGTGTGTGTGTGTGTGTCTGACTGCATTAATGGGTATGCGTGTGTGTCTGCATGAGGAGGAATTCCTGAGAGGAAGTCTGCATGTGGCTGCATGCGTTTGTGCATCCGTGCCGTATGATCTTTTGCATGCAGCGTCCCACCACTGCAGCTCCCTGTAGATGTGGCTTTAACCTTTATCTCTCCTTCAGTATGCTGCACAGTGCACAATATGCACAATAGCGAGCAGGGAGAAGGGCAGCTTACAGCAGCAACAAAGCAACACTTTATCCTCCTCAAAGTGACAGCGAGGCCAAAGCAGAATGACATGCCGCTGGGAATAAACCCTCTTCTTGTCATAGCTTGTGTCAGGATACTTGAGTTTCCATGAGGCGCGGTTTGTTTTTGACAGTTTCCAAATCTGCTTGGCGTTAATCTGTTTTCTTTTTCATGTTATTAGGAATTTTGATTTTGCTGAGGACTGGAGTGGTTTTCATGTTGAGATGGTGTCAAGGCTGGCATGTTTCAGGGTGTATTTTTTTTTTTAAAGCAGAAACTTATCAATACCACACCAAGTTGCCTCAAACTGAAGTGATTCAGAGATTTCTGCAACGCACACATAAGACGATAACCCTCTTATCGACCATGACGCACCAGTTGTCTGGAGAATTTCAAAAATACTTCATTCTTATTTTGCATAAAAAAGGAGGGGGGGGATTAGATTCCCATGCCTCCTCCCTTTCTCCCTCCATCCTTCCTTTTTTCCCTCTCCCTCTTTCATGCCTTTTTTCGGCTTCCTATTTTTAACTATATCCCCTTTGTACTGATCTCAGTCTCTCATGAACCCCTTGCGGGCCCCCCCCTCCACCTCCTCTCTCTCTCTCTCTCTCTCTCTCTGCCTCTCTCCTAATCTTTCCCTTTTTTCTCCCCTGGCTCCCCCCAATCTTCATTTCTGGAGAGGAGGCAATGAAATATTTAAGGCTGTGCTGCTGTTGAGGCCTATATTTAGAAGAGACAGAGCCACCCCCCTTTCTCGCTGTCTCTCTCGTGTGTGTGTGTGTGTGTGTGTGTGTGTGCGCGTGTTGACATGCACCCCACGCAGCAACGACTGCAGCACTCCCACCGTCCGCTGGCAGGATAGCAGAGCAGACACTCCACATCTGTCACACTCAAACTCTGAAAAATCAATGAGACATTCAGGCGATCCAAAAGACCTCACTATACGTTCCACCCTCTCCTATTGATTACCGTGAATTCTCTAGTGAATGAGTTTGAGCTTATTTGAAATACTCTTATATTACAGACGGACCTTTATTCCCAATTTAGTGTATAAGTAGTTTTATCTAGTTTTGATAAGATGTCTCCCTGGTTTCAGATCTGTTTTTTTTTTTTTTTGCTGTTTTGCTGTCTGTCAAACTTAACTTTTCCAACTTGTTTGCCTATTGAATCAGAATCAGCTTTATTGGCCAATTATGCGCAAACACACAAGGCTCTGGTTTCACGTTGCTTTTTTAGAGGCCCTTTTATGTACTTAAATATAGTGCCAATGAAGAAAAACAGGGAAAAAAGTAAATTTCAGGAAAAATGATGTCTGAATGTCTCTACTACCACGGTTGTGCCCTTGAGCAAAACATTTTAACCCCACATCTATACTTATGTCACATTGTAACATTATACTGAATCTGTGAATTACTTTATTTATCATTTTTATTTCCTCTTGTTCAGTTTCCAATATTTCTAGCGGTTTGTGTCTCAGTCAGTGCTGTATCACGCTTCTACGCTGCTTCACACTATTCTCACAGAGATCTGGATGTAAAAATAGCTTGATGTTGAATTATTCATCCACATCCTCATTTCTCACAGGTGGTAAACTGCAGTTTGAAGATTAAGCTCCATCAAATCGCACACAAATGTTCTTGTTACTTATAAGCAAGAAAAGTGTTTGACAGGTTAAAGTGACGTTAGATTTGTTTAGAGCATTGTGCACAATGTGACGTTTACAGCTAGTTGGCACATTTTCTCTCTCTTACTCTCTCTGTATGTGTCAGTCACGACCTAATGACAAAAAGTTGCCCCATGACCGGCACTGGTAAATCCCTGGTTCACACATAATCTCCTCTGTCTTTCTGTCATTGTAGTTCCTGTGTTGTGTAAGCAGCTGGAATTGGTTTCTTAGAAAAGCACTGGGGATTGTTTCTGTAGCAACTGCTTGGTTATGGCTCCACCGACTGCTACCACCGCTGTCAGTGTCCACAGTGACTAATGAAAAACCCTGTGCAGTATATTGA